TACGAAAGCGGCGGATACGTTCAGATAGCCTACTCGACCGATCCAATACAGTTGGTCCTTTATCGAGCGACACTTTAAAAGTAGAATGGTAGGCGTCTTTGATATATTGAGCGGAAGGGCTCCGGTGAGCGACACTATGGAAGTATCCGATACAAAGCACAGATCAAGCAATCGACCCAAAGAATTTGTTAAATGGTTGACTTGAGACATGGACAGGTCAAGCAAGCCGTCAACAAAGTCATATCGTGAAAAGGGCACTAGGTTATAAGACTCGTTTAGACCAAACAGTACTTGGCAAGCTGAAGTCACCAAGAACTATCATATGACCTTTACCTGATTGCGAGGAAGAAACAGTTATTAAAACAAACAGATGCTGCTCGTAAATTAAGAAGGTTGAGAAATTGAGAAGAAATTGAAGGTGGTATACGAGCAAATAATGAATCAATCGTACACACAGGAATTCCAGTTTTTTGTTAGCCTGGACTGTGAAATGTTCCGACGTAAAGCTTAAGTTCACTTTAATGATAACCCCTCCAGCACGTCGAGTCGAACGTTCATTTCTAAAAGTTGTGACCTGCCAAAACTTCGGACAATAACGTGGGATGAAAATCCGACACTTTCCCGAAAAAGAGTGCCGAGCTTACTGCGTAATCCTCTACCATTCTGAAAAGGTACAACAAGAGAGGAAGTTAGTTTTTTGAACTGGTGAAAGTAGCACGGGAAGGTGCCAAGGTGATGAAGTCGGCTACCGTATTTGTATCACCTGTCGTTGCCCTTGGAGTGGCAAACGACATCAGCTTCTGCACACTTTGATTGGTCGAAGTCAGTTTTACGGCAACGAGCGGTTGAGTGACTGTTAGCATTTGCAGATCAGCAGTTAAAAATCGCTAAAATAGGTATCCGTGGCTAAGAGCCGATCGTATTGGTTTTTGAAGCCAACGGTCAGCTCATTAAAGCCCCTTCGTGTCTGCCCCATAAATATGACCATGTCCTTCTCATCCTATCGGCATGCTTCACAACTGTAATGCAAATACGTATGCAATACGTTTCCCGAGTACTGAAAAGCCAGCGAATTTTGCGTGAGTTTCGTCAACTACCAGCATCAAAATCAGTGAGTTAAATCCATTCGATTCGGTGACATCACCGGAGCCACCAATGTTGCAACAGAAGAACCAGACATCAGACTATCTTGCCATACCATCTCATCACAGTGCAGCACCATCAGATTAATGCCTATGCAGTAAATTTTCAGTGACAGAATTATACATATGTAAGTTATATTACGAAAATAAGAATTGTTGAGAATTGTTCTGAAAATGCGATTGTTCCTCAAAAAACTGGTGTAATTGCTGACTATCACAATGGCCCACAACACTAGATAATAAAAATAGATGATTTCCATATTAATGACATAATCAGGCAGGCTCTGGTTTTATACTTACTTTTGCATTTTGCGTTTACAGTCAAAACGTTTCGTTTTCATATTTATGTGCTTCTGTTTTCACAAAGTTTTGTCATCAATATGTTTAATTTTATCATTACCATCGTAAATTGCTAATGGTTAAAAAATAAATTTGTTGCATTTTGAAGCTGGAGGGAAACATTTGCCTTTACCCATAAGTTCTGTTACGCGCATGTTATAAGTACAATAGGGCTGGGTCAGCTGTTACCAGGAAAACGCAATATGTTATTGTACTGACCAATGACACAAATTACAATTAGGCAACAAAATTGAACTTATTTTTGACGCTGTGAAGCAAAGAGACTTATTTTTATAGACTTGGTCTTTTAAAATTTTGTATTACCTTTTTTTTCAAGGTTTAGTTTATTTGAAAAAAATGTTTAACATCTGGTTTATTTATTTATTTTTTTTTTATTTATTCATTCCTTGTGTTTTTGGTGTATATGTACAGGTACATTCAATAGTCTTTAAAGTATTTTTTGTAAAAATGTATGGATAAAATTCCGCTACTCGAAATACAGCCCTTTCATTTTATACAAAAATAACCATAAATTTGTATTTAAATAATTAGTCTTTAACGGTAAAATGGCATTTGGCAAAGAACTAAATGGAATTTAACGGCAAAATGCGGCATTAAGAGGTTTGGTCAAACGGTTGTTCGGTATATGAATTGATGTAACATATAAAAATTGGCAGGCTCCGGTTTTCACTTACTTTTACGAATTACGTTTTCAGCCAAAACAGGTCTGACGAGCTCTGAGTAAGCTCTGGTAAACTTTTAGTTTGTTTAATTTGGGGAGTTGAGATTTTTCGTACCACAGCCAACGTAACCTTAATTTTCAGCTTGTAAGCTGAAGAGAAAGAGAGGAACCTATGTTCTAAGGTAAATTCTTAAACTTCTTTTATTCCTTCTCTACCTAAAGACCAATTTTAATTTAATTTTAGAATATTTGTTTCCATTTACATTTGTAAGCTACTTTTTTATTTCGCTACATCAGGCTCTCTCTTAAATTTGGCTCTGAATTTTGTTCATAACAGCACAAGTGTGCTCGTAAGAGCTCAGATTTTTCTCGTGACATGCGTGAAACAGAATAACTGGGTAAAGACAGCTGTTTCCCGCCATATTTAATTCAAAATGTAAGTGCAAAAAATTAATTTTCATACCATCAGCAATTTAATTTTCAACTGTTTCACACGTTGGCCAGACATGCTAAACACACAGATGTTGCATATGAGATGTCTTGTCGTTTTGCTTCAAAACAAGAGTTCAAAAAATTAAAGCTCGTTTTGGCCGTTTTCTGGATTTTTACGAAACAACGAGGTCGGATGTTTTTCTTTGCAAGATATGATGATATATTAAAAAAATATCGATTGGTTGTGGCGGAAACCGCCGAACTCAATAGTAAGTGAAAACCGGAGTCTGCTAGAGAAAGCTATTAAAACAGCAGTAAAAAAAAATTGTATTGCTGTGCTAATACTTAAGTTCGTTACTGTATTTATATATGATATGTATGTACATACATATGTGTATACTTACGAACAAATCCAACTATCTACATATGTACATATGTACATACGTTTATGCTAGTTCTATAATTAAAATTATGTTGTACACATCTTTATTTATAAAGATACATATGCGGGGGTTGCACAGAACGAACTACAGTTGGAATGCCTATCTGTGGCATATGTATATTTATGTATGTATGTACATGTATAGATGTACAGTCAAGGAAAAAAGTCAACATACAGCACCGATTTTTCAATATTTCGGGTTTTCGCAATGAAAATTAAAAAAGTTGGTATGCCATTATTTAGGACACTTAAAGTTATTATTATTTCAGAAAAAAAACTTAAACAAAAATGATGTATACTAAAGTTACAACGAAAAAACATAAAATGTTCACGGAAAAAAGTGTACATACAGCCTCTATGCTTTTGTATTATAGTCTCAAAGTCATCTTAATACTAATACTTTTTATACTTTTAATATTTGGTTAGTCCACCATTGGCATCTATTACAGCCTGTAGTCGTCGGGGCATCGATGCCACCAAATTTTCGGTTGTTGTGGGCGGAACTTCGGCCCAAGCTCGAATGAGGGCGGTTTTGAGGCTTTCCCGACTGCTGATGTTATACTTCCGTACCAATCTTTCTAAAATTTCCCAAAGATGTTCGATTGGGTTAAGGTCTGGCGATTGGGGTGGTGAACGAAACTGTCTTGGGGCATAATACAGCAAACAATCACGCACAACATGTGCGGTGTGCTTTGGATCGTTGTCCTGTTGGAAGATCCAACTGCTTCCCAGGCTCAATGTATCCACCGATGTGCTCCAAAATTGGCGAAACACATCGAAAAGTGTTCAGGAGTCATTGTGCACCCAAAAACAATTGCCAATTTTTTGCACAAGGATGGTTTCAAGAGCCGAGTTCCACGAAAGAAACCATTGATTTCAGAAAAGAATCGGATTTTGCGCCTGGAATTCGCCAAAGCGCACTTAAATAAGGATCCAAACTTTTGGAAAAGCTTTTTATTTACAGATGAAAGTAAATACAACATTTTTGGAAGTGATGGCCGTTCCAGAGTTTGTAGAAAGGCAAACACCGCTCTTGACCCTATAAACATAATACCCACCGTCAAGCATGGAGGTGGTAGTGTAATGGTTTGGGGCGCTTTGGCGTCGCCTGGAGTAGGTAATTTGGTGTTTGTGGAAGGGAATATGGATCGCTTCCAGTATAAGAAGATATTGGAAGAAAATTTGGAAACATCGGTGGATACATTGAGCCTGGGAAGCAGTTGGATCTTCCAACAGGACAACGATCCAAAGCACACCGCACATGTTGTGCGTGATTGTTTGCTGTATTATGCCCCAAGACAGTTTCGTTCACCACCCCAATCGCCAGACCTTAACCCAATCGAACATCTTTGGGAAATTTTAGAAAGATTGGTACGGAAGTATAACATCAGCAGTCGGGAAAGCCTCAAAACCGCCCTCATTCGAGCTTGGGCCGAAGTTCCGCCCACAACAACCGAAAATTTGGTGGCATCGATGCCCCGACGACTACAGGCTGTAATAGATGCCAATGGTGGACTAACCAAATATTAAAAGTATAAAAAGTATTAATATTAAGATGACTTTGAGACTATAATACAAAAGCATAGAGGCTGTATGTACACTTTTTTCCGTGAACATTTTATGTTTTTTCGTTGTAACTTTAGTATACATCATTTTTGTTTAAGTTTTTTTTCTGAAATAATAATAACTTTAAGTGTCCTAAATAATGGCATACCAACTTTTTTAATTTTCATTGCAAAAACCCGAAATATTGAAAAATCGGTGCTGTATGATGACTTTTTTCCTTGACTGTATGTAAGTTTCAACTCAAAAAAATCTGGACGTAACATGTATGTAAATTATGGAGGAAACAGTTTATGCCCTATTTTTCACTGTATTTATTTTCATCCTGTTTTTTTTCAAGATGTACTCGTCTAATTTATTTTCGTCCTGCTTAAAAGGTTTGTTTTTAAGATGTACTCACTCTTCTTCAAGACCATACAAAATTCGTTTGACCTCGGTTAGTTTATCAATTGGCAAGTACTTCTCCAAGCATTCATTAAGATTGTTTAAATTAAACTCCGACATTTTTTCGCGATCACTCGAATCACTCTTTAAAAAGCCACCTCGCGAGTCTAGCGCACAATTTTTAATGTTGCTACGTCGATCACTCCCGGTTTTCACGTCTTTCTAAACACACAATCGTATATATACAACATATGTATGTAGGTACATATGAACAGTGGGGAGCAAAATTGAGTACATACTCATAATCACTGACTTTCGCTACTGACTAAAGCCAAGCAAACCAAATTTTTTCCCCATATAAATACTCACTTTTGCACTTTTTATAAAAATTTAAGTAAATCTTAATATTAACATTTTGTGCATTTATCCCGAATTTAAAAAACTTTTTAACAAGGCAGGGATCCGAAGTTGATGGAGTGGCCATCTCAAAGAACCGAACTTAATCCGATTGAAAATCTAAGGTCAATCGTGAAACGACGGCTTGGGCAGAAGTAATCAGCGCCATCTAACCTCGGCGATCTCTGAAGACATGTAGATGCGAAATGCAATCGTATTCCAAAAGATATTTTTGGGAATTTGATAGAGAATTCCAAACCGTATTCAATACGTAATACCTAATATGGGTCTATGCACAAAATGTTAATATTAAGATTTACTTAAATTTTTATAAAAAGTGCAAAGTACATGCGAGTTTTTTTGTTTTTATTTCTTTGAAAAATTCTTATTCGTTCTTGTAATTATTGTTTATTTTGTTAAGAATACAAGTATTTATATGGGGAAAAAATTGGTTTGCTTGGTTTTGTTCGTTTGTCTGTTATGGGCGGCGAAAGTCAGTGATTATGAGTACATATTCACTTTTGCTCCCCACTGTATGTACATATATATATGTATGTATATGTAGTTGTCGATCATCACTGACCTTGATGTCAACTGATAAGTGACGTAGTGCAATTTTTACTTTGCGATACATAAAATGGTCTTCCTAAAATAAGGCTCCCTGTTAAATCCCGCTATAAACGATTTTAATTTAACATGTTTTTAATTAAATAATTTAATCTGGTATTAGCTAATAGGCATCCCGGGGGAGTGGTGGGACTTTTTGACAGATGTGAAACTCCGATTCACACTGGCACCATCCACCATCCGTCAAAAACAGCTGATGCCAATAACAAGTGCATCAAATTTGCGCGGAAGATTTATTAATTTTTGTTCTTATAATGGATGATGAAGATCTAGCAATTATTTCGGCCGTGGTTCAACAGCAAAATATGCAAACAAATTTGCGTGCTGATGAGGTCCTCGACCATCTTTTCCTGCCTCATTTCATGTTCTTCCTTCATCCTTTGAAGGTCCTTCTGCTCTTCGAGTCGCTCTCTGGCTATCTCTGCCATCCAAGAAGTGTCGTCTTTTTTGGTTCGCTGTGGCGGGGGCCCTTGTTGCCAGAAAAGGTGCTGGAGCTACATGATCCATCCAGATCCAACTCCATAATGTCCGAAAAAAAAACTCATTATTGAAGAATAAATTATGCATAACATAAAGCATTTACAGAGCATAGAAATATTTGTTCTATGTTGTCAGTCGTCTGCCATTTATTCGCCATTGCATTTGAAAACCATCGGCTAACTATCGCATAGAAACGTGGGGTTTAGGAACATCCAAAAAGGATGGTGGACTAATAGGCTCTGCACACTGAGCCCATCCCGGGGGAATGGTGGGATTTTTTGACAGATGTGAAACTCCGATTCACACTGCCACCATCCACCATCCGTCAAAAACAGCTGATGCCAATAACAAGTTCATTAAATTTGCGCGGAAGATTTATTAATTCTTGGTTATTATAATGGATGATGAAGATATAGCAATTATTTCGGCTGTGGTTGCACAGCAGCAAAATATTTTCTTGCACCAACTAATAATGTTGAATAATGATGATGACGATGATGACTTTAACTTTGACGAAGATGAGATGCTTGACTGGGTAACTGCCATAAAAACACAAAAGCCAGGAAGGTTATGGTCGTTTGTGAGTACTTCTACTAATTTCAACCAAAGTTTAAAGTACAAGGACATATTTTATGGTTTTAGAAGCGGTTCGGGACATTTTGGGAGAAAGATGTACCAGAAAACAACGAGGCGTTTTTCAAAGAGAGTTTCCGAATGGAGAGGCCCTGCTTTGATATTTTAGTGAATCGGCTTGAAGTGCTGCGAAAGAAGGACACCAACTGCCGAGCTGCAATTCCTTTGGAAAAGCGCATCGCTATTGCGCTATACACTTTGGGCTCGTCCTCTGAGTACCGAACAGTTGGCAGGCTTTTCGGTGTAGCTCCAAACAGTGTGTGTAATATCCTGCACGAGTTTTGCAGAGCACTTATCGACGAGTTTTCGAAGGAGTACATGTCGCCCAATCACCTAACTTCCGACAAAATTGATGAGTGCGTAAAGGGATTCGAGGCAATTGGGTTTCCTCAGTGCCTAGGTGCAATTGGTAGGAAATCAATAAGAACTTCAGCAATATGTTTACATATAAATTGGTTTTTAAACTTCCTTTTTATTCTAGATGGATGCCACATCGAAATAAAACCACCAGCAGCTGAGGCAGTAGACCACCATAACTATAAGGGCTGGTATTCCACAGTCTTGTTTGCCCTAGTGGATTATAGGTATGCAAATATCTTGCACAAAAATATGTATTTAGCAAGTTGGTTTAATGTCCTAAATTATTTAAATCCGATTCTTTTTAGATACAGATTTACATATGTAAATATCGGCTCTGCAGGAAGGTGCAATGACTCGATGATATACCAGAAGTCAAGCCTTGCAAAACATATCGAAGCATCGGCATTACTCCAAGAGAAAGCCAAGGAAATAAGCGGAGTAAACGTCCCTGTAATGCTTATCGGGGACTCGGCATTTAGGTTTTCTAAAAAGCTGATGAAACCTTACCCGTTTTCCACAGTCGCCTCTTTGGAACAGCGCACGTTTAACTACAACCTTTCCAAAGCTAGGCGAGTGGTGGAAAATGCATTTGGGCATTTAAAAGCCAGATTTCGAATAATCGGAAAAGGTCTTGACAGCCACCACAAAAATAATAGCGCCATAATAATGAGCTGTTGTATTTTACACAATATATTAAATGATGAAATTGGGAGCTTGCAACAAATGAGCAGCGCGAACAGCCCGATACCAGCAACAGTTCTGCTGACTTTAATCAGTCAGCAGAACAGATACGATCTGCAATCGCAAAATATTGTGTAGACCGTAATGAAAATTAAAAACTCATTTATTTTTATTTTTTAAAACTTCTAATAAGTCGTTCTGGAATTTTGTTTGGGTGCTGATCAAGTCCTGCACCATCTTCTCCTGCCTAACGTGGTGGTCCTTTTGTTGTTCGAGACGCTCCTGGGCGATCTCTGCCAGCAACGAAATGTCGGTCTTTTTCTTTTTCTTTGGCGGAGGCCCAGACAAGGTGCTGGAGCTACAAGATCCGTCCAGGTCCATCTCAATAATATCCGAAAAGTACTCATCAGGATCTGCAATGAACACCTTAAATGAAATATATTTTTTTAGCAATAAATTAATAAAACTTACTGTCGTTGTCCAATGTGCTCTGCTCCATGTTGTTTATCCATGTTTCAATCCTGCAAAGTATAAAAAAATAGTAGGTTTCACAATCTTTTATTTGGCAGAGTCAATAATATTTACCTGTATTTTTTGGTCAAGTTCTCGAGCTTTGTCCTTATCTCGCCCCATCCAAGCTCAAGCCCAGCCTCCTTCATGGACTTGGCCATCTCCATGTACACATGTGAATTTTTGCGTGGTCCGCGCAAATCTTCAATTTTCTCCTGCCATATGTCAATCAGCAGGCACTCAAGCGCGGCACTCCATTTCACCCTGCCGCCTGCTGTTGTTCTCTTGTTTGCTGCATTGTGTAATAATATTATATATTATAAACAATAAAAAACAAATATATCTATTCAACGTACCACTGGAGGAGTTTTCTGGCACTAAATACATTTTATTAATACGTTTTTCGAAAATTTGGTCTGCCGTCCTTCCAAGCTGTTCTGTTGTTGTTTTTTGTTAATTTTGTCACAATCATTGTTTACGTTTTCGCAGTGAATACCATTTTTCCATTGTGAATGACAATTATTCAGAGATGCATTTGAAAACCATCGGCTAACTATCGCATAGAAACGTGCGGTTTAGGAACATCCAAAATGGATGGTGGACTAACTGGGAAATTTTCGGAGCGGCAAAATCTTACGGACCATCCCCGAAATGGATGGTGGATGGTCGTGAATGTGAGAAAACTAGTTAGCAGAATGATTATACATATATACTCGTACTAGAATGCAGAATTCAGAATGAAAAAAAAATTTACTGTGGTAGACTTCACCTGCCTCGTGCTCGCCTTTTCTCGCAAGCCCTGTCTGAGGGAGCGATTTCTAATTCATTATCTAGTGGTACCAATGTCCAGTCCAGTCTAGCTTATTATAATTAAATTTTCGAATTCTGAATTAAGCCTAGTTCCAATGAATAAACAATACCAAGATGTTGCATGAGGGACCAAAAAGTTAGTTAGTTAGTTACGCCCTGTAGACAGAGAGCGCGCGAGGGGTTTCAATTCTCTTTTTACCTATGCTACGTCTCTGACCGCGGTGCGCTAACTACTCAGATTCGTCTGGTCCTAAAATCCTACAACAAATACAAAGGCGTAGAAACGATATGCTTATCGGTCAGGTATTTTTGTAATCTTTGGTGACGAGCAAAAGACGGTCCCCTCGCACAAGCGAATAGTTCAAAACGGAATGTCCAATTACACAATTACAAATAGTCTTGGGCATGACGAGACATATTTGCTTTAAGGTTGGGATAATCTGTGCATCCCCAAAGACTGTGTATTTGTTGATGAATTTTGGGATGAATTAGCTGCCCAGGCATTGACGAATTGGTTAAGCCGAATAGCAGGTTAGAGACTATCCTTCGCCTAAAAGAGAACTGACGTACCAGTACGCGCGCGTGTACCATGAGGCGTCGAACGAATATTGAAATGGAATTTGTTCCTCAGAGCCGAAAACATTTTTTCTAAGAATAAGGGCTCGGGGACACTGTAGCTGAAATCGGAGCAGAAGCTCTGAAAAAACAAAGACTGCACCGATGCAAGTGCGCACATTGCAGACCGAGCTGAACTGGAAGCTGAAAAAGCTCGCTGAAATTAGCTCAGCTTAGTTTGATCGATCAAGCATGTTTGTTTTTTCAGCAAGCTGTTTGCTGATTTTGGGGAAATAAGCAGGTTTATTTAAATTCATTCATATCGTTTTATTTATAATTTATTTTCTGGAAGGCAATATCAGATAAATTGGGAAAAAAGTTTTATTATTGACCTTTTTTATATGTCAATAATAAATATAGTATACTATGTCCCCAAGTACAGTAAACGCTCGAAAGACAACACAATGTTTTTTATTAAAAAAAAATTAATAATTAAAAAATATAATAATATTTCATAAAATAGAAGTAATACGAATAAAATACACAACAAAAATGTGGTTGAAATACACGGAAATAAAAATTAAAAAAACTTCCGCTTGGCTACTGTACTTGTAGTGATGTTATAATTAATTAATAATAATAATTATAATGATAAGATTTGATGCCACTTAAGGAGAGAGATAAAGGGTGGCAAGAGCTTTCAGCAATTAGATCAGCCGAAAAGTTACGCACCTGCAATCTGATTCTGCCCATGATGGAATAATATAAGGTGTTCTCGTCGGGAGCCGAAGTTCGTTCGTGTTGTCCGCTATCGTCAGTGGATGCGGAAGGTTGTTCACTGACGAATTTTTGTATATATTCTTAACCCTTAGCGTTGTTGAGACAACGAACTTTTTCGCAGACTATAATTGTTAAAAAATTTCACAAATTAATTATATCGGAAAACGTTATAAATTTGACTGTAGGTAGCCGAAGATGCCAGAGACTTTTACAAATATTATAGAAGAGTTATAAACTTGGTAAGCGAGCGGATCTCGAGCCAAAGTAATATATTGGGAACAAAAAATGTCTGTTCTCCAACTACATCAAGTGGTAACTAAAAAAGAGCAGGCGCAGCTGCTGACGGCTTAGCGACAGCATAGGATAGAAAAGATAACAAGAGCGAGCATACATAATGAATAGATGATGAGATGAGAGCATGGTGCTGAGCGAGCAAAGGCAAAGGTACAGAAAGTGAATTGATAGGCAATAGAAAGATGGTACTAAATTTACACTCGGGCTTCGCCCGAATAAGCATACAAAGCATATCAGGCTTTCGGATCTTCTGCGCAAAGCTTTGTTAACATAGTAGTAACGACCTTATTAATTCGTTCTACCTGTCCATTACCACGTGGCACTCCTGTCGCTATCAGCAAATGTTGGATATCCTGTTCCTTACAATATTCCTCGAAAACAATAGCAGTAAATGCAATGCCTCTATCTGTGATCACACGCTTCGGGTTTCCAAAAACTTCGCCCTGTTTCTGCAATCTATCAACCACATCATCAGCGCCTGTACTCTTTGTTGGATAAAGCCAGACAAATTTAGAAAAAGCGTCGACAACTACTAGGACGTGGTTATACTGTTTCTTAGTCAACTCCATCGGTACAATATGGTCAATATGATAGTTTGCAAAGGCTCATCAGATTGTCATTTACATTCAAATACCCTTCTTTCTTTCCAAATTTTGCGTTGCTCACAATGCACTCCACACACGACTTAACAATCCTATCTACTTTCCCTAACAACTCTGGAATAAAGTAATCGCGCTGCAGTAAATCGATAGTTCTTTTGACACCAAAATTACCCTGACGATGAGCAATCATTATGATTTCGCTTTCCATCCCAGATAGTATTACGATCAACTCTTTAACTGGATCCTTGTGCAAAATGTCATACTTCAAATAAAAGTCATCGTAAGAACCCGAATCTAGCACTTTACAAATTGCTGATATCCAAATATCCTGACGTTGAGCTTGCTTTATTCGATGTCTCAGTGAATCTTCCAACAACAAACAATGCACTCTACTCAATGCATCGACGTGTTTCATCTTTGTCCCTAAACGATGCTCAATTTCATAATCTAAGTCCTGAAAAAATATGGCCCAACGAGATACCTTCAATGAAACATCTTGTTTCCTCATCGCTAACGCAAAAGCATTACAGTCAGTAATAATTTGTATCTTTCTCCCAAGAAAATACACTCTGCACTTCTTTAAAGCCTGTACTATAGCGAGTACTTCAAGCTCGTATGAAGGATACTTTTCGGGTGGAAACATTGATCCTCTGAGTCCATTTGCAAAAGTATGGCTCCATACCCATACATACTTGCATCGCAGTGAACTTCAGTTTTGCCTTTATGACTAAACAACTTTAAAACAGGAGAAAAGGATAAATAAACTTTCAACTGATTAAATGCTGCCAACTCTTCTTCACCCATTTTGAAAGAAACATCCTTTTTCATCAAGTTTGTCAGTGGTCAGTGAAATAGGAAGTTAGGCTCAAATAGCGTTGAACTTGTATTCTGTCTCTCGGAATTGGAAAATTTTCAACTGCCGAAGTTTTATTTTGAGATGGTCTTATTTCTCTATAATGTAACCTAAACGAGGGGGAACGTTGTGAGTTGCTGCGGACACCGCAACTCTACAGTTATACCCGATACTAAGTCAGTATGGCTCTCCTCCGGCAGACGCCGCTAATATTAAACGACACGACAAAGAGTGCGTGCGAGAGAGACAGAAAATCAGTCTGAGCGTGACGTCGGGCGCTGCGTAGCCAGTACAAATTGATTTGTTCCTTTTGGCTATAAAAATGATCTGATCTGATCCAGATTCAGCAATCTGATAGATATGGTCATTATTTATGATTCTGCGTTTTTAGTTTTCTCAAATCTGCAATATTGTGAATGCAACAGATTTTCGTCCTTTGTGTGGGCGGAAGGGGGTGGGGCGAAATTTTGAGATAAAGGTTTTATAGTGAGATCTAACAGAAGTGCGGATACCAAATTTGGTTACTCTAGCTTTAATAGTCTCTGAGATTTGTGAATATCCCCAGATTTGCATCCTTTGCGGGGGCGGAAGGGGGTGTGGCGAAATTTTGAAACAAACTCGTCTTGGTCCCATATATTAGGAGTGTGGATACCAAATTTGGTTGCTCTAGCTTTTATAGTCTCTGAGATCTAGGCGCTGATGTTTTACTCTAAGCAAAGCCGCCTATGCTACGTGTGTGTTAGAGAGAGACAGGGCGAGAAAAAATGAAATTGTTTTCTTGATGCTGGCTATAATAATAATACGATCCAATTCAGATTCTGCAGTCTAAAAGATATGGTCATTCTCTACGATTCTGCGTTTTTGGTTTTCTCGTATCTTTAAAATTGTGGATGCCACAGATTTTCGCCCTTTGTGGGGGCGGAAGTGGGCGGTGCGAAGTTTTGAAATATTTTTGTAGCAGCGACATATCACAGAAGTCTGGATCCAAAACATCGTTGCTCTAGCTCTTATAGTCTTTGAGCATTAGGCGCTGAAGGGGACGGACAGACGGACGGACGGACAGACGGACAGACAGACATGGCTCAATCGACTCGGCTATTGATGCTGATCAAGAATATATATACTTTATGGGGTGGGAAATGATTCCTTCTGGACGTTACACACATCCACTTTTACCACAAATCTAATATACCCCAATACTCATTTTGAGTATCGGGTATAAAAATTAACCTTTCGCTGTAACACTTGCGATTTCTACCATTTTATGCGTAATCCTGAAATCTCTGCGATGCTCTACACCTTCTGTAATTTTTCAAGTCCTTTTTGCACATCCCTCGCACATAATAATATCGTCCATATACAAAATCAAAATACCGTCATAAACACCGGAGGGGAGTTAGTCTTCCAAATGGTACATAATTTAATTCATACTGTCCACTCTGTGTGACAAAAGAGGTATATTTACGAGAATCCTCATTTACTGGCACGTGAAAAAACCCATTGAACAAGTCCAACGTAGTGAAAACACGTCCTTCCTGAAGCTTGAGT